CATGATATGCTACAAAACCTAATTAATCACGAATTTCTAATTTTATGTACTCTTGTCTCCGACTGTACCTCCCAAACATCCTTAAACAGAATGAATGGGACTGTCGAGAATATAGGATTTACCTCACACTTTATTCAATATTTCTGCAAACATTTTGTAATCAAATCACTTCTGAGCGCCAGCAATGAAAAATGTCTAAAACGAAGAACCCAGAAATGCTTTACTCGAACTTTTTGTAATCACAATTGTAAAAATATTTATTGAATCCGTACAGATAGAATTTTATAAATAGTACTGCAAAGATAAGCTTGTACTATTGCAATTTTATTTCTTATAAATTTAAATAATCTTTTTTCCAGGAATATATTTCGAAGCATAGTCATAAGTGTACCGATTGTGACTTTGCTGTACGTTTTTATGAATATATCATACTTAACGGTGTTGACGGTTCCCGAAATGATAAATGCCCCTGCAGTGGCAGTTAATTTTGGTGAAAGGGTACTAGGAAATTTCGACTTTCTGATACCAATGGGAGTAGCTCTTTCCACTTTTGGATGTGCTCTAAGTATACAATTCAGCGTTACACGGTAATTATTCTTAATCTATTGTATTTGGGTACGTTTGTATAGGGTGGTCCAATAGTGCGATTGAAATACAATAGCTCGATTATTATCAGAGATGTGATTTATTTGAAATACTTGCATTTAAATCCTTTTTTGAGAAAAGCATTTTGTATTTTATTTGCAATACTTTTCCAAATGTATTTTATAATTCGCTTATAGTGTTGCCCATTTTTGCTAATACAGGGGCTTTTATAAACATTGCCTAAATCTTCAAATTAAAATAATTTCAAAACGAAACAAGATAGAAGAAAACTTTCTCAACACTTTCTGTTATCGCCTACAAAACTTGCTTTTTTTGTACTACTTAGTAGTTTGTTTTTTTTTTGTGGGCTTGGATTTTCGAAATTTTTGAAACCGTATTTTATTATCTTTGTAACGACACTTTGCACAAGCATCATTTCGAACGTTTCGATGCAGAAAATCTATTTTCAGGATTTTTCTATTATTTTTTAAGTATTACTTCAGCGAAATACCATACAAATTAAGAATGACTCCTAAATAAATGACTGCCCATAAAAGATGTTGTAACTCTTACCTCTTCCAAGATAGGAAGACAGGGATTAGTAAATGATAACTTATTCTTTTGTAAAAATTAACATTGTTTTTTTTTTACCAGGAGTATACATAAATAATACGTACGAATAGTGGATTCAGATTATGAAACTCAAAAAAAATTATATACAGGGCGCTTCACTTGAAAGATCTAGAAAACCGTAACTCACACCATTGATTCCTCTGATATATTCTGTTATGCAAAAATTCTAAAGCGTATTGGGGAAATTAAAAAAAGGAAATATTTGCAATGAATTTGTATAAATAAGTACATATTCCATTAAACAAAATACAAGATGCCAAATGGACCCTTGACCTTTAACAATCTTTTTCGAATTTCTAAACTTAACCGCTTGCGAACACAGAAATAACTTCTTTTTGTTAAAGGCGACCCTTTGCTGCGCTATCCTCTGCTTTAAATCTCTACTACTCCTTTCATCCTGACTTATCTTTATATTCACTTTTTCTCTACTCTTTCTTTCCTTGTATACCAGTATTTTTGTTTTTACTTTTATTTATTTTCATGCAATTCTGTTTTGTCAATACTGCTTCCATTTTATTTAAGACTATCTCGAATTCCCCCTTGCTAGATGCTAATTCTGCAATATCATCTGCAAGTCTAAATGTACTGATCCTTTGCCCCTGTATGTCTATCAGTCAAGCTTTTGACAATGTTAATTAAATGGGACAAGATGTTAAATATACTTAAAAAAGTAGGGACAGATAGAAGAGTGATACTTAGTTTGTATAAAGAGCAACAGACAATTATAGAACATACGCAGCAACGTAGAGAAGTAAATTAGGAATTAGNGAAGTAATTTATCTTATAAATACAATGGATTCTGGATTATAATTCAGCTAATGAAACGTAAGTCAAATATTTTATTATAATGAATTGTATTTTCAGGTATTTCTTCAAGTTATGGAGACGTTCGTCTCAAAAGAGAATTGGGATTATTTTCGGCGATTAACATGATTTTAGCAGTAATGATAGGTTCTGGAATTTTTATATCACCTGCTTCGGCATTAGAACACTCAGGTTCCGTTGCAATGTGTATTTTGATATGGACTATATGCGGAATTGTATCACTCTTTGGTAAGTTTATAATAAAAAGAATTTAAACAGATTACTGCTTAAATTTTGATTGCTCTGTTGAATATTTCTAATAATTTAGCGAAATAACAGTGCTGGATTCGAATGCTAGTAAAATGTTTCCAGATATAGGATACGGATACCGGTAATGCCGCATGGATACCGGATACAAGATACGGTTGCTTTTAGTTTCTATAAACACCTGCATCCGGATACTTTTTTCGTATAACGGAACCTCACGTCTGTAGTAACTGTGACTTGTCTATACCATCGGCAAACGGTACAATGTCATTACGAGATACATAATTTTTCAAAAGTTTAGTATCATCGAAAAATGTCACTTTTTCACTTTTGTTCTATGAAAGTGGCAGACAATATTGTTACATAGTATTTATAAATTTATATTCAGGTCACTGGTAAATCTAAATTATTTATTTTAAGTTGCAAGCTAACACCTAGTAGGTCAATTAGCAACCTTTTATATAGCGGAAACAATAATTATAATTAAGAAGATGAATGTCGAGAGTGAGGAGTTGAACTAAAGATTAGATAGATGCAAGGTGGTGAGGCGGCCTACCGTTTTCACTCACTTTGTGATAGTTCCCTGCCAATTCTACATTTCCCAATTATCTAATAAGGTAGACTATTAATATACTATTGGATTACTAATTAACTGTAATTAAGTAGTTGGCTAGTCATTCTAAATTGTATAGGTACCTAATCCACCTTCAATTTTAGATTAAAGTAATTATATCCCATTTCTAAATATATCTAAAATTCGTAGCCGTATAACATGCTGGGGTAGTTATATCTCAAAATAAACAGATAAATTTATTCCTTTATGACATGGTGGAGGCGCTAAATAAATAAAAATAATAAAAAATTCGCTTCATTGTGACAAAGTAAACAAATATATCATAAAATTCGTACAGTAGATAAGTAGGTGCCGGCTTGCAGTTTTAAATAAATAATTTAGATGTACCAACTTTGTACCAGTGACCTGAATATGCGTTTATGAATACTATTTATGTAATAATACATATAAAATCATTTATTCAGCGATTTAAAAGCGATTGGATGCACTATAACCCTAACTTATCCCGAATTCATAATTATAAAAATATACGTATTTGTTAACCCACCAAAGCAAAGCAAACTTTTAACTTGGACTGTTTTTGCCCAGTTTAATAGTTTAGTTAATTTTCATTATACTTTTTTGTTGTCAGACACTTACAGTAACTTAACGGTCAAATAAGTTAAAGCGTACGGTAAAATTAGTTGTGACGTTATGACTTAATTCACTCTACTTGACGATATAATTTACAATATTCTCGACTAGCAATCGCAATTTCGATCTTATTAGATCTCATCAGAACATCTTAAGCAATTTCGATATATACCTGATTTTTTTTTGTTTTCGTGGAAAGTTTTCGAAATATACCCAGCCGTTCGTACGACGGCTGAGTGTCTTTCGAAGATTTCTCCTCTTCAACGAAAACAAAACAAAATCAGGTATTTAGGTAAATACCTGAACAAATCGAAATAGCTTATTAAAATATTATATTATTATATTATTATATAAGTTATGGCAGATTATCGCCATTTTGTGACTTTTGCGACTAAATGAAATATTTCATATGTTAGGCAAGAACCTTGTCTTAATAAATCCATGTACTGTCAAAACTCGATATTACATAAATTTGCTTTCAAAAAACGTCTTTGTTTTGGTTGATGATTTATTCAAAGTGCTGAAGAGATCAAAAACCAATTAACATCGCGATCCGCATATGACTTTCTTAATGTACGGCGCGAGCATCAACAAGTTGTGCTCGTTTGTACGCTGTGCAGTAACACAGTGCGCATCCGATTTGTCCGCAGACACACTATAAAGATTCTATACAGTAGGTTCACTCTTTTGATCTGCTTGAAATATCCGCATTTTTTTGCAGGCCATCATAAATTAACTTTATGTGCGTTGAACTATCATATACGAGGACGGTTCAATAGCTTTACGAAGTGTTTAGATACAAAATGTATTTGTACCTACTGTGACTTCACGATACCATTCTGTACAAGCCAGCCCCTGATTCGTAGATGAAGTGGTAGGAGCGGGATGTATGGGCGTGGCTAGGAAGTAAACCTACTGTATAGAATCTTTATACTGTGCCCCAGGCAAGGAGATTTCGCTTACACGTTTTGTGTAACAACTAACAATACCTAAACCCATCCGCAGTTGTCCATTGCGCAGCGTACAATCGAGTTTTCTATCCTTTTAGATTCATACGCGTTCGGTTAAATTACTGTTCCTATATTTAATCTTTTTATACCTACTTTAGTTAGCAGCAGACGTCAGTAGACGGCGGTATAATATGCAACAACTACGTGTCTCTTTTTTGCAGTACATTAATGCTTATTAATTTCAAATTTTTTGGTTTATTGGTATGTATAGTATTTTTTTAATTGTAGGAGCTCTTGCGTATGCCGAGCTAGGTACGGTAGTCCCAAGATCAGGGGCGGAGTACGCATACTTTATAGATTCTTACGGACCCCTACATCCATTTTGGGGCAAATTGCCTGCTTTTATAAATTCATGGGTACTTGTGATTGCCCTAAGACCCGCCGAAGTCGCAGTAATAATGTTAACTTTTTCCGAATACACATGTCAACCTTTACTGCATTATTTAAGAATAAATGATGAAATAAATCAAATGCATATTAAGAAAATGGTTACATTAATCTCAATTGGTAAGGAAACGTTCTTATATTCCTCAAGAAACATTTTTAAACGAAAATTAAAAAACCTATAATTATACTTTGTAAAGTTTTAAACTTGCAATTTTCAAACAATTTTACTACCCATTAACATATCCTCATAAAATGTGTTTTTGATGAACTTCACGCAAAATGTTGTTCTCAAAATTTAAAAACTTAGGCTTTGCATTTTTAAACATTGACAAGATCTCTACATAGCATTTAGAAAAAAATGTCGGTGACAGGAATTTTGGTACAATAATGACTGTCATCATCATCATCATAAGGTCGTCAGTCCTAAGACTCTTTCCTATCCTGAGCTAATCCTCGCATTTCCCTAAAACTAGAACAACCCACATCCTTAACAGCAAACAGTAATCTAATCTATGTTTATTTCTACCCCTCGTAACTCCCGTTTCTGCCTCTAATATGTCTCTGACTAGACCTTCATGTCCGAGAAGGTGTCCTACCAACCAATCACGCCTATTTAGGTACTGTTGACATAGAGTCCTCTGTTCTCCTATTCTTTCTAATATCTTTTCATCCCTAACTTTCTCTATCTACGGTATCCTCACCATTCGCCTGTAACACCACATTTCGAACACTTATAACCTTTTCTTTTCCACAGTGCCTACCGTCCATGTTTCGCACCCGCACAGCGCCGCACACCTTTAACAACCTGCGCTATCCTCTGCATTATATCCCTATTACTCCTCCCGTCCTCACTTATCTGGACTTCTCAGATACTTAAAATCAGCCACTTCTTCTAATTTTTCTAAATTTTTTTTCCTTTGAATACCAGTATTTTTTCATGGCTGTCATTAAATATAAAATTATTTTTATTTAATTTATTAT